TTTTTGTTGTTGTTTTTATTTATTTATTTATTTATTTATTTTTTTTTTGGGGGGGGGGAGGAGGTAACAGGGTGACAGCTGAGTGTAGACAAAGCCAAGTTTCTTTTAAATTCCACCATAATAATTTATGGAGGTCCAATTATCATCTATATTTAGATTTAAAACTACAAGATGTGCAATATTTTTATGGTTGAGTTCACACCAGTTACAGTTTAAGTCAACACTGGTTAAGATATTGTTGCCAAACAAAAAATGCAATTTTAATATATTAAAATTAAATCAACCATTACACAACTGAAGTATACCTGTTCTAAATATATAAACTTCACTAGCTGTAAACAAACTCTAAAATTCATAATCATGCATGTAGCTGGCTCTCTGTGGTGAAAGATGCGATAAAGAATTTTGGTTGAGACATCTAAATTTTACATTGGAAAATACATGTCTTTTGAATGTATGAAATAAAGTGAACGTGCTTGAAAAAAAAATTTAGAAGCTGAAATATTTTGAGGAGCATTTAGAACCAATAACCCCCACCCACCCAACCTCACCCATTGTACTCAAGTCCACCAGCATGGCGATATTAACCATGCTTTGCCTTGAGGACCGTTCACATGAAAAATCTATTTTCTAAAAATCTAAAAATCTATTGGCGGTATCTTGTGATCACGGTCTGGTGTCAGAATCTCCTCCAAGCACAGCCGAGAATTAATTACAGCTTTGGAAGTAACTCGCTAGCGCTGCCAGTAATTACGCCACGGGGTATTCAGGGCAAGATCACAAGATACCGCCAATAGATTTTTCATGTGAACGGTCCCTAATTGTCTGCTTGTTGTTTTAAAGCCTGGGACCACATCCATATTGTATGTGCTCATAATAAAAAAGAAGCAGTTCTTTTCATTTGATGCCATTTCAATCTGCAAATGTAAATGGAGTTTGTATAATGTAAAAGCCAGTGATATTAAATGATTTTGTTTGTGTGGTGGTTATATATAAAAAAGTGAAAAATGGTGTAAACAGTTAAGTGTTTCTAACTGTATCTCAGTGGCTGGTTTAATGGCATACCAGTAGATAAAAGGGTCTTGTTCATATAAAGGAGAGACACATTTTTTTGTTAATAAAATGGCATGGCACTGATATTTGTGCTATGTTTTCTTTGACAGACTTATGTGTAAAGTGATATTATGCATTTTTTTTTTCTTTTTTGCACCTGCAGAGTGAATACGTTGTTATTATATTGACATGTATGTTGGTGACTATTTAGACTTCAAGGACAAAAGTCATATAAAAATCCATTTCTCGAATTCTGAAGATCCAGCACTTAATCTTTACACTACAGTTATGTTTTAATCGATCCCTGCTATTAAAAAAATCATAAAAACAATCTATTAGTTGACAAAAAGCGTTTTAGTAAACCTCACCTCAATATGCATAAATGAAGCAACAGATCTGGGTAACATGGTACTGTGACGATAATGAGGATAAAGGTCTACATATATTTATAAGACTCAACTGAGCTGCAAGTGCATACAGACAGAGAAGTTTAGGAAAGTTGTGTTGAACGGAGTTGAGCAATTTTTGTTATGCCTCAGTGTGTTGCTGTGGGATTCACCGAAATTGCAGCACTTGTTCACAATCTTTTCTTTGTCTGTGATGGTCTTCCGTGACTTAGTAACTTCGGTGACAGTAGGTGCGATGCGATGAGATCATGGTCACCTCAGGTGGTTTAGATCATATCAAAAGCTGACATATTTTAAAAAATTTGAGCACATACAGCAAAATGTAGACTAACGCAAAACAGGAAGGGCAGCGTAATCACAGCAAATGAACCACATATAGTAGCTTCATTAATTTCCATTAATAATAAAATCATCATTTAAGTCAAAAATATTCTCGCGATTTAATTAATATTCTAATTAACCCATAACGGTATATTTATTTAAAAGGAACTAAAATATAGTTTTATTATTTGTTTGTGAAAATTACCCATGTTACCCTGTTAGTTTGGAGGTCTAAGCTGGATCAAGTCCATGTTAAGATTCCTATGAAGCTCTGCAGGAAAAATTCTTCCTTTGTTTCTCTAGCTCCTCAATAAACCTGGTGTTCAGATTTTATCTAGTACCCCCAGGTCTGCGGGAGCTGCTCTTTGAAACTAATGCACATGTAGATTTTTACCTGAGATAAATATCACCAGCGAGAGTGCGTTCGATACTCGCAAGACAAATACAAGACAAAGGAAGTTCCAGTTAGATGGATGATTAAGATAGGACTTGTAAAGGTAACAGGCCTTGTTTACCTCAGTTTAATAAAAGAATGCAAGACGGGGTGTCAGCGGTTTAATAAAATAAATTGAATTTCACAAATAACATGGACCTCATATGGAATAATCAACAGTACCCTTAAGTCATTCAAATGCAGTGTTTTATACAACTTGGGATAAGCATAATTAAATGCTTGTTAAAGAATTGAATAGACGGTAAATGGTTTTACACAGCTTCACGAGGGTTTTGACCCCTCGGGTAAGAGATTTGAATGAGTATAAACTTTTATCAGAAGTTCGACAGTTCCGCCGGTGGCACGATTGTCGTCATCGAACCACATGACCACGTAGCTCATTAACTCTCAGGCCGAGCAAATAGGACATTTTTTAAAGTCCAAAATTTACAAAATGAGCTTTTAATTTGTGTATTTGGATAAAGATGTCGTTAGTTGGGCATGTTTTCTGAAGAATATGTTCCGTTTGGGCCATTCTGACGCCATGACCATTGTCCTTTCAAATTCAAGAAATGTGAAGAAAACCCATTTCCAAATCAAAATATGTTCTTAAAGCACCCCACTTGCCCCTATCAAGTTTATCTGACATAGAATAGAGCAACTCATTGATGATATCAAAAATAAATCATCCAAATTTGCCAGTTGACTTACAGTACTATTATGCTGCCTAAATAAAAAGAATGGCACAGAATTAAGAATCAAGAAGAAAACGATATATTAATCAACGTTACCTCAAAGAAAACATATTGGCCTGTTTTTACCCTCAGTTTCAGTCACTTGGGTTTTGTTTGGTTGTTTTAGATATATTTTTTTTAATTGTTAGAATCAAATCAGTGTTGTTAGACAAAGTTAATAACAAGGTAGTGAAGACCACAGTCCTTTTAAATAAATAAATAAATAAATAAATAAGGGAAAAAAGGTTCACAAACTCACCTGGGTCCTCATCCTGCTCATTGATGGTGTTCTCAGTGAGTGCGGTGTTGGACTTTTGAAGGGACAGAGCACTCTCCATGTCTTTGACCAGAGACGCCTCCTGTTCTGTGATTGGGTAGCTTGCAACATCAAATCCACTGTTAGGAAAAAAATAAACAAATTTGATAAATTTTTAAAAAAAAAAAAAAAAAACAAAAACAAAGAGTGTAAACATATTTACCAAATGAATGGTTATTTCAAAAGCATATTAAAAGGGGAGTATGTTGTGTTCAAGAGTTCCAAAAAGGTAGCTGAGTTTCACCTAACAAGACATATTTAGATTTAGTGAGTATCCAAAACTGATAAATTTTGATATAAAATATTGAAGTTTGTTAGTCATTATTAGAAAAAAATAGATAAACAAACAAACAAACAAATGAATAAACAGTTACTGATAAGCAATAAAATAATTATTCTGGCCTAGTGCTAGCGTCGCTGCCTAAGGACATTGAATCCACTGATATTTTACACTTTGTAAGTATGGCGTTTCAGTTTATGGCATTTCAGTTTGTGCCCTCTGTGTTTATGTCCCTCCCTTCCATTCCCCTGTTTCCTGCATAGGCTATGCTCTTATAATTCATTTTAAAATGATAAAGACAGAATCATAAGAAATCCTGTAAAAATAGATAATGGTACGTATGAAAGACTGTAACTAACAAAATTAGACATTCCACTGAAAAGCCCTGAAAAAATCACACTGACAGAACCTAATTGGAAAGCATTCAAGGCAAATATCTTAATATGTCTGAAGTGATACATGTAGCAAGAAAATACACTCTGTAACACCTTAAATAAATTCTCTAACACAATAACATCTGAACCAACCATATTGCTTCACAGATTCACTTCTTACAAATATAAATAAAAATATACACACTTCTACAAACATGTAACACTGCAAATCTAGAAAAAAAATCAAGATGTTGCTTTTTTTCTCCTTTGCTCTTTCTTACCGCTTCATCCATTTTGTACCCAAAATCTTTTCCAGTTTTTCTCTTTCTCTAGTGAATTAAAACTTTGTTATATAACAAGCACTGCCTTGATCTTGCTGGCATGTCATGTATAGAACATTTCAAGCAAACTGCATATGTTTCCCAAAATGTACATGTAGTAATATACTAATGTTAGTAATTTTCTACAATATTAATACAAATAATAATAATAATAACATCTGTGTCTGTACATAAAAATTATAATAATAACACTGTCATTTTCCTAAGCCCTTCATCCTCCAACCTCCCCCAAGTAATTAATATTATTTACTCACAATGGAGTGGGCACAGTGGCCTCTTCCATCTCTTCCAGAGTTTCTAGAATGCTGGTTCCAGATGGAGTGTTTTCCTTGGGAGGCTGGAACCTCACACCTGCTAGCTATCACCTGCAGCTCTCGACCTTGGTCTGGTGAATACATTTAAAATAAATCTTCACAAACATATGATAATTATTAAAATTATTTTAAATATTATTATAGTAGTAAGAAGCTTTTTTTTTCAAAAGTAATTGCAAAGTAACCTAAGATTGTGAATTCACAGAATTCCCTTCTACAGGGTACTCGAAATAGTACATTATATTCTTCCCATAAAAAGTATTTTTTTAATGTTCACTTATGTGGGATTAATTTAATAAATGTATTTTTTCTTCTTGCCATTGGTATATTTTGTTATAAACACTCTACTGATTAAACCACATCACCAACCTTCCACCACCTCTCCCTCATCAGTCCTGCATTCTATCTGCAAGGCGAATGTCTCTCCCTGGGTGATCTCAATTGTGTTCCCTTCCTCTGTCCCAACTAACACAATCTTGGTGGCCAGCTGTGCTGGTTCTCCATTGATCCACAGTCCTTCATAAACAAAGCCAGAGCAATGGTACATGGTGCCTTCTCCATTGAACAGGTCATTTCTGAATTGACCCTGGGGTTTAATAATAATAATAACAACAACAACAATAATAATAATAATAATAATAATTTCTATCAATTCATTAAAATTATAATAATTATTAATATCATTTTTTTATCAATTTAAAATTGCAATTTTTAGGTATGTTTTATAGGTGAGTGATAAAAGCAAACAGATTTATTGTAAGCCCAGCTGATAAACAGTGTAGATTTTTCTGAAAATTTATTTTCAGTCTGTGATAATAATAGACAGATTGCATATTGTTGATATCATATTTTGAACCACTAAGTATACACACATTACCATCTGTACTTGTACTGAAACATTTAACTTTTAAAAAATATTCAAAAGACACTAACTACAGATCTGTTAAAACTCAATATTGCTCATTTTAGAATCACTAAGATATCAAGAAAAGGAACAGGTATGTTTACATAAACTGCTGTCCAAAATATGTAAAAAAAAACTTGTTTCCACTCACGTCATATATAGAGGTGTCTGCAAATTTTACTTGTCCATGTCCCTGTCTTTTGTCCATCACCCAATCTCCCTCGTAGACATCACCATTACTAAACAATAATCAGGAATATGGGAATCATTCACTTAATTTTAACAAAATTGATTGTTTTTTAGTAAAATCATAAAAAAGATTGAATCAAAAGATCTAAAAAAACAAGTTCAGGCTATGTGAGAAAGTATTTTAGTTAGAATGCACAAATTCTTGATTTTTCAGGAGAGTCAAGAGGAGGTGCAAATGCCTTT